TATGCGCTAAGAACCTGGATGCCCCTTGTGCCCATCTCCGCTCGGGGCTGCTGCCACACATTCCGGCGCTATAATGGGGGCGTGTGTTTAAGAAGCGATCCCATTAATCGCTGTTGGTGCTGTCACCCACCCATAAATATTGCATTCGTTACGAGTTCAGAACTGAAAGAAGCAAGCATATCATCCTTGAACCTGTAGAGCATATCAATACTTAAAGGAATGTGCAACCCGGCGAGGGAACCACTTGCAGGCCTCACCAACCACCGGTTCGCCCAAGCACTCAACAGGTTCAAGCCTACCTTTTCAACCACTTCATGCAAATCTCTTCTAGCACCCTGAGCAACGGGCGTCGCGGCGCATACGACACAACCGGCCAAAGCCTCTACCAAGACCAAGGCCTAGCAATGTCGACGGAGATTATCCTATCTATACTTCTGGCAGCCACTGTGGCTTCCCTATTTGTTTTGGTGTTATTGTTCTGGCTCTTTCTTCGGAGAAAGAAAGCTGAAGGTAAGCAGCGTGCGCGTCTGGGATGGGCTATACTAATAATATCACGAAGAAAACCTCACTGAGCTAAGCTCATGGAAGGTTTATCACATTTGCCTCATAGTGCGCGATCATCGGGTCTGGGCCAAAAAAAGAAACATTCGTCGCGGCCATGCTATAATAAAAGACCCTAAAAATCACTGCACCTATCATCTCTATCCATATTCCTTATTTAAAATCAATGGACTTATCAGGGAAACGAATGAGTTACATGAAAACGTGGAATTAGGAATGGATGCTGTTATAGCCACGAATAACGGGGAAAGGGTCACGCTTACTGGGTGTATTGTTGATGATACGTTTTCGTTGAATTCGGTTTTACTTGTGAATATGGGGCTACCAGTAGTACCGATTCTTGCAGATCCACCCTCGCTAGACAACTCGCCGAGGGCCCTAAAGGCTCCGTGGGCTGCCTTTAGCCTCTAGGTCTAACCAAGGAACTTCGACATGCTGGAAGGGCGCGTAAATACTATAACCCTTACAAGTCAGTAGCTTAGGTTAGTTACAATTCCTCGGGCCATGCTTCCGGTCAGAGAGATATATTTAAACCCCAGATTGGCCTTGAATCAACGGCGGGTGCTACTCTATATAAGTACGGTTGAAGTCTACAATACTGTAACGAGCCACAATTGCAGTATTGCATCTAATTAAAATCAACTTTGTCTGAATTACCTTGAGAATCACTCGTGTAAGTCGCAGCATGAGATTGCTATTTACATACCATTTCTTACATAGCCACTAAGGTTCCTGACAAAATGGCCAACGCTTGCGCTCACCAGTTCCGAATGATCAAGTCAGATAACACTTTGGTTCAGTGGATTTGCCAGCACTGCCGCTCTGGCCCTCACTGGATGATCTGGGAGTGCACATACTGCAAGCTACATCTATGTCGACCTTGTACGCAGTCTGCGTGAGGGCCTCTATGTGGCTGCGTCGAGAAGGGCCTTCTTACGCACTTGGGCTACGTGCTGCCCATGATGTAGATCGATGTTGGAAGGCTTGACGGAGAAAGAGTTCAGGAGCAGGGGATGGCCAGTGACAGGACTTCATCAATCGGTCAACCAATAATCTAGCAGGAAGGTCAATCTTTCCTGTTCTGTTCTAGAGCAGCTGAAACCTGGAACAAGCAAGCATGCTGTCGTCCGAGATGACGAGGCAAGGCTTCTGAGTTGCAGTTGAGAGAACACCACTAAATCAAGAGTACTTACACGCCCCCTGGGGACACGGACGTCGACGCCATTGCTCGCTTAGACCCTGGCATTTGGTGCACGGGCTTACCCCTGTCAGCGCGGGGATGGGTTCGTTTGTGAGAGAATCGCTCCCCGGACTAGCGGCCGCTTGGCACCCTGAGCTGCAACGAGAGCGGGATCGAGTGGTCTGTGTTGAAGCAGGGCAAGTTAGTAAATGAAAGGAAATGTAATTATTTTCGGCTTAATGAGCTGTTTATTAAAGCAACTTAGATTTAGTAATACTTAGAGAGTGAGATAAGAGTATTAAACAAGAAAGAAAAGATAAACTCCTGCTCAGTAGTTTTATCCCCCCTTTCAGAGCAGGAAATGGTGAGGGAAGTCCCCTAAAAAGATCACGCCCGCTACATAACATTAGGCTCAGGATTTGGGTTAGACATCCTACGTGCTATTCCTGTCCCGAGTCGAAGCAACTCCGAGGGAGTACGAGCAGAGCTTACAGGGATATAGCACTTCATCTTCCCAGCAGCATGTCCGAGACAGAGAGCAAACTCAGTTTCCTTGACACTCCAATAGTCAATAAGTCCGAAGCTCTGCATATAATATTCCAAGCTTCCTAGTACAGCATGCAAAGAATCTTCCTTCTCAGGCATGGGTTCAATACATGGGATTTGGTGGAGTTTGAGAAGCTCATCATACAGATCCTTGACATGCATCTCAAGACTCCTTTCCCCATCTATATGTTTATATGGCAATCGGAGTTTGTCGCGAAGCTGGCGGAGTTTTTCCACGATGAACTGCATTGGTGGCTTGCCTTTTCTCTCTTCGAGCACCTCTGAGATAGGTTTTGACGGGCTAAGCAATTTGTCGATATTGGCCAGCGAAACGAAAATGCCACCAAGGCCAGGAGTCTCTTCCACTAAGGTATCGCCAGAAGAGGGATGGGTTCGGTGATGCGTGAGCTCATTAAGAAGTGTCAGCATGATCGTCTCTTGGTCGCAGATCTGTTGGAGATGGTGCTGGTGGCTCGCCATGAGGAGGTTCATGAATTGATTAGTGAGAAGATGAAGTAAAGATTGAGGTGGGGGATGGTCAGTATTTTAACCTATCTACTTGGTTTAATAGCGCCCCCTGAAGGGCCGTTTATACTCTTACTTGCCCTAGCTGTCGTTAGTTGCCTAACTTGCAGCTAAGACATCTCGTTGAGAAAATAGCGCTAAATCCGGGCCAGTACATACACGCCTCTTCATCCCATCTGCATGACATTGGGGTCTGGTTGCCAGGGGATCGGACGGGATTCTTGCGGTGAAGAATAAGAGCTTCAGGCATACTAACAGCCGCCTCCAAGACGGGACACTTAATAAATGCAATCGGCCAGTGCTCCTTAATATCAAGACCCTGACAACTTCAACAACTCACTTGCCATAAAATCCCTCTGCCTATTATGTAAGCCTCAGGGAGAGACACGAGATTTTTTGTTACATACATCTTACACTACTGTTAGGATCGATAAAGCAGATAACCTCGAGTTGCCGAAAGGTAATCTAAAACGGCCCTCTTCAGAGGACCTGAAATGCGCAAACAAAGTTCCCCGGGTCGATCAAAGCAACAAAATCTACAATAAAGCCAGGATGCGTCTACGGTTTTGGTGTTGCGCCTGCGATGCCGATACGGGGTTGAAAAATGGTACATGCGTTAGTTGTGGGCATAACTCCTTAGGTTGTATTGAATGTACTGCAGGTCGCACAGATGCGATGAAAGCAAAGGGAAACAAACGGGGTCAGTAGCGTAAGGAAGTGCCTCGATTAGTGCTGTTTCTTGAAGAAGGCGGTCATGTTAGTTGTCACAACTTGGCTTTCAGAGCCATCGTCGGATTGCTTCCGCATGGCTTGGACCCAAGTCGCAAGATTATGTACTTCCTTTGGAGTTGCGAGGCCGTAGTTAGCTGGTCTGTTCACTCGTTACAGAGTAATTACATGGATATATAGCCTCATGTTCAGGAACCCCTGAAAGTCTTGTTGACCTCGGCCAGAGTCCCTGCTGGTAATATCTGTGATATGATGGCTGCAGGTGCAGCAGGGCCTGGTGTCCTTTTCGGCGTGATTAAATCGTGTTGTCACCAAAGCTCAATGCAAGGTAGCAGCTGGCGGTAAGACTCTGGTGTTCTCGACGTAGTTCTATGGATATGTAGGCCCTTGATCTGCGGCCTCTGGGGGAAGAGTGATGTGTCTGCAGAGCCTGATTGTAAATGAGGCTCTGGGCGAGGCGCGACCCAGCGAGCATAAGGCAACATCTAAGATTATGGTCCACCCTACTGTCAATGGGGCACTAGCTATACCGGGAGTCGTCTCCATTGCCTCCAAGAAACATGTTCGCCATGAGTTTCGTGAATTCTACTCTTATCTGTCATTCTCGACTCTCACTCCAGGCCGAGGGTTGAATGTCAACCAGCCGTAACGGTGGAGCATAAACAATGTGAAAAAGCTTGTCTCAAGCAAGAGAAGGCGTTACCCTATTGCCAATCGACACCTACTCTGTCGATCACACGAAGTTGGACATTACTTGGCGCACCAACGTGAGCACACCCCACCAGGGGCTAAGCATACCACTCAATGTCCCTGTCCAGCGGCTGGGTGAGACACTTGGGAGCCTAAGGACAATTGGTACATGATTGGCATAACCCGAGAGAGCCTCCAGCCACCTTCTGCCCCCAGAGAAAGCTGAGCTCCAATGTTGATGCGAATCAAGTCGTGTACGCGACGTGTACGAGCCCTGCATGAAGCTCAAATGTCGCCGCGTTGCGCCGTTGGCCGGTGGCAGGTGGCGCAAATAGGAGTCTAGGCCGTTGGACACACGCTCCGGACTGCGCGCTGACTCTAGAGCCTCAATGGAGTGTGTGAGTGTCCTGTTCTGATCAGGATGACTGGTTCTCTGTCGTCGAGGCATGAATAAGCGAAGAAATCATTGCCTTGCCAAGAACCCCCATCTATCAATTCATCAGGGTCTGAGATTATCACGCGCCCTACAACCCCTCATTCCCCTTTCCAGTCGATGGTGTGTGTCTCGCTGGGTACGAGGGGTTAAAGCATCGTGTTGCGGCACATTTAGTTGCACTAGGATGCGCTCTGGCGCGTTGTTAGTGTCGAGAATTAGGTGTAGTATTCGCGCGACTAGGAGGCGATATCTGCGAGGCGGAACGGTGCCCTCTCTCAACCCGATCTTCAATATAGCAATAATTGGTCGTAAGGAGCCATAATTATGAAACAGAAAGGAGAACAGCCGACTTGTCTAAGGAGGGGCCAATCTCACTGCGTTAGGCTGTCAAGGATGACTCACGGCCACCCATAAACTGTTGTTGCCGTGCCTATAGCCTGTGCATGTGTAGGAGGAACTGGGAGGTCATATGGTGGGCTTTAGGGAGCGCACCAGGACCAATGAAGCTCGCGGGGACAAGGGTAAGGCTGTAAGAGACTCAACGTAAGCATTCTTGGGTGGACTAGGCGGTTGGATTGTCCTACTCGTGAACTCGAAGTTGAGTTCTTGTGCCCTACCTTCCGTGGCTTCGTGACTGGCCGCCTTATCTTGTCATACCTGCATCCGAGGCCTTCTGGAATAAGTCAACAAAGGCATGTGGTCTAGGCTAGTTTTGAATGCCATAGTCGAATATAAAAGAGAGACGTCTGGCGGCACTGACCCTGTGGTCTCCCATCACAAGCGTCTCCCACTCCGCTACTCCCCACGCTATCAGCATCGCCGTCATTCATCATGAGCACCTCACAGCCTACCAAACACCCGGCTGTCAGCGCCGGTATGTTCTTCACCCAAACTTGCTCCTCTACAGAAGCTAATGCGGAAAAGACCAGCCCCCAATAGAGCCACCTCCCGCTTACGAACGAGTAGCTCAGACTCAAACTCAAAACCCGCCGCGACCCCGACAAGGGGACGTCAACTCGAAGGGCTGCCTTGTCGATGCGCCTATACCACTTCAAGTTGCCTACGCATGTGCTGTATCGCCCGCCCTCCTGACCTTAGGGTGCTACAGTGAGTTAGAGGACAACTGCCGTAGGTCTTAAGGGCCTTTAGTGATAGAAAATCCTTAATTGGCATCATGGCATTATAGGAATAGGATGTATCTGGTCTTTAGAGTCGAAGTCTGACTCTCTTTAACGCAAAGCTCTTATAGCTATAGAGGAGCTACCGCCGGTCATTACCTCATAAATACAGTCCTTTCCTTCTGCGATGTTGTCTGCCTGCTCTCTCGTGGCACATTTAATGCCTGAAGCTATTTGATGATGCCCATTCTGCTCTCGATTAACGACCATATATAGGGGAGGGAAGGCATTCATAAGGAGTGGGTTAACCCCGCAACAGTCACGTAATAGGGTTTGCTGCATGTTTGGAGCTTTTGGGTTTCGTCGTGGTCGTTTTACATGGCAGTCTTACCCTTGCCCTCGTTGTTTGGCTGATTCGGATTCATTTCAGACATCGCGGCCGGGGCAGTATCTTGTTGCTGAAGAGGCGGTTGTTGGACGATTGTGACGGTTTTAATTCATAATCACAAGACTCGCGTGAACCAAAACTCCCTGCAAGGTAGTAGCTGGCGGTAAGACCATGGTGTTCTTGATGCAGTTGCATGGACATGCAGACCCTTGATCTGCGGCCTCTGAATCAAATCCTGCAGCCACATCACCCTTCAGAACGAGGCTCTGGCGGTGAAAGTTAGAGAGATGAATGTTATATAAGGCGCTACCATACCGAGAAATTTGGTTGTATCAGCTTCACTTTCAACAGGTTTCTCTCCACCAATATGGATTCAGTACCTAGTAAGACTCTCTCTTCTACTATGTCTACAAGATACTGACAGCCCTGATGGCTCTCCATGTTATTCTATAACAATTTATGGCGATAACAGTCCAATTTCTCTAAAGTTGGTAGAATTCGGTGGCAGTGGCGAAATCGAAGCCCGAGAGGCCAAGCAATATGCAGAGAGCATACCAACTTGCCACGATACTCAAGAGGGCGAACAGGATGCAAAGAGCGTGTCAATAGTGACAATAATTGACAGCGAGCCCCAATCTGGTTTAAAGGAGGCCGATCAGAGCGCAGTACCAATTTGTCTTGAGGTCCAAAATGGAGCTGGAGAACAGAGTTCCGAGGCAGACCAAATGGAGGCCAATCAGAACGGAGTAACAATTTGTCTTGAGGTCCAAACCAAACTTAGAGAACAGAGTTCCAAGACAGACGAAATAATGGCTTGGATGGAGAATGCTGAGAAGGCCACCAACAAAGGTACGGATTATTAGATAAGCCATTTAAAAATTAGTCAGCGAAATTCGACGTGCACCAGATTGTGACTTCCCAGGAAGTCGGCGCTTAAAAAGTGGCTCGAGGCAGGACTGCCTCAACGCCAATCGTGCGGGGTAATCTTATCAGTCGGGTGATAAGCCAGCACCGTACATACAAGCTAGCCCGAGCATCCCTGCGCGCTCGGATCTCCCAGCTGCAAACAACGGGTACATAAGTAGTGTGGTGCTCCAGTCTCAAAAACCTGCCATGAAAGCAATGTCGCGTCCGCCCCGCACTAACTTTCTCAGCAACACTATGTCCACACACAATTCTCTCATCTCAGAACTTGACTCACTCATCATAAAACTACGGGACTTTTCGTTAAGCTTTAGTGCACTACGTTGCACGGTTCGCAATGAGGCCCCTCAAACGAAGCCACAAACGCGTTCCCAGCAACCCAAGGATCCGGCCGCTGAGCTACTGGTGACAGTCTTGGGTGGCATGGATGGTCTGAGTGACCAGTTACAGACAATTGCATTGCAGGCTGAAGATGCCCACGCCCAAGCCCAGAATCTCATGCTTCCTAGCAACGAACAAGTCATGGACAATGCGACGAATTCCCTACAGATGGACACCCGATCCGAGACGTCATGCGAGCGGCAGATCGATACACAACTCGGAATCTCTGAGCAAGAGGCTACGTCAGATTCCCAGTCGAGCGAGACCTCATCGTCACAACCTACACAGACATTTGATGATCCACAGCCCGTCGAGTCAGAGGATGTGACCATGACTGGGAGCGGTTTAGCCGCAGCCGATAGTCCGCCTGACTCACCCAAGGAGGGAGGCGACGACATCAACGTCCGTCGCGCAGTCACTCCGAGCCCAGCCAACCGAAGCGCAAGAGCCGACCTGAATACAAGCCGGGAGGGTAGATCATTCGCAAGGAGCCACTCGGTTGTGACGGAATCATCGGCTGCCTCCATGGCCGTAGACACGTCACCAGCCGGTTCTGTTGCGACTCATATCACATGGCCAGAGAGCTCTGGTCGGTCTGCTGACGAGGATGAGGCCATGTTGGACGTCGATGACACAAGAGATAGCATGCAGAAACGGCAGCCCGACCTTGGAGGCCTCAAGAGAATCGTTGACTCTGGCTCGGGACAGGACCTCGCGACTGGCGACAAACCCAGCTCCCCTGACGCGCCGAGTCTCGTCACTGATGACAGAACTGGTCAGCCAACTCAGAGTCCTGGGGTCAGTGAAAGGGCCAGTTCTTCTGAGCCACAAAGTCCTGCGGCACACACCGAAGCTGAGTTGCACGGCGACCGGTTAGCCAGCCCCCCAGTGAACGGCGACATCAGACGCAATGAAGATTCTCGTGCCGATGATTTCACTCAAGAGATGGATTCAGCCATGGATATGCTGGCCGCGGCCGGAGAGCAGGGTCATTCGCCAGGGAGCGGAGATGAGCAACGGATCGGCGACCAACAAACAGAGTCCAGCTCCACTGGTGCTTGTGAGCAAGATACTACCATGTCGGGCGTTGAGACTACAGATGATGACCAATCACGAGACTGTCCGGCTGGAGGCCTTAACGCAACACCAGCTGAGACGAATATCATCCAACCGCCACAGGGTCCTGCAGCCAACGAGACAACCAGCATGGCAGATTCTGTGGTCGATATTGAGGCCAATTCTGCCCCTCGGACGCTGCAGGGCCATCCAACCAACGACGAGGCTGATTCTCCTGGATCCCGCCAATCACCAGCAGCAGAGGACACTGACATCCAAGGAAATGCCGACCAACAGGATACTGGACCTCAAAGCAGATTACCAACTCTATCACTCGCCGATAAGGCAAGACTTATTTCCAAGATTCAGGAATTAGAAGCCCAAGGTTGTGCACAACACATCTCGGTTCCCCATGTTAATGTTGAATTGGAAGATGTGAAAAAAAGCATCGACACAGGAGACTGGAGATGTACAACCATGGAATACAAAGCGGGCCGAGAAGGCGAGAGATACGTGTCGATCTATGCAGGCAAGCCGAAGAACCAACCTTTCATCGATTGGTCAGCTTTCACTGCTGAGTTCAAGCGGCCCACAACTGAGGAAGCCAAGGCTGTGTTTGAAAGTACTGCCCAGAATCCGCCAAAAGGGAAGATACCTTACTACATCGGTCATGCGGACATTCTCTCTGAGCAGGCATTAGACCCTGGGTCTCTTATTACTGGAAACAGTGATCTTAAAGACATACATACCAACT